CTGGTCTTTCCTTTTCTGTTATCTTCCTCTATTTCTTTGCATTGTTCATTTAAGAAGGCCCTCTTGTCTCTCCTTGCTATTCTTTGGAAGTCTGCATTCAATTTTCTGTAACTTTCCCTATCTCCCTTGCATTTTGCTTCCCTTCTCCTCTCTGCTATTTCTAAGGCCTCGTTGGACAGCCACTTTGCTTTCTTGCATTTCCTTTTCTTTGGGATGGTTTTCGTTGCTGCCTCTTGGACAATGTTACGAGCCTCTATCCAAAGTTCTTCAGGCACTCTGTCCACCAAATCTAGTTCCTTAAATCTGTTCTTTACTTCCACTGTGTATTCATAAGGGATTTGGTTTAGATTATACCTGAGTGGCCCAGTGGTTTTTCCTACTCTCTTCAGTCTAAGCTTGAATTTTGCTATGAGAAGCTGATGATCAGAGCCGCAGTCAGCTCCAGGTCTTGTTTTTGCTGACTGTATAGAGCTTCTCCATCTTTGGCTGCAGAGAATATAATCAATCTGATTTCGATATTGCCCATCTGGTGATTTCCATGTATAGAGTCGCCTCTTGTGTTGTTGGAAAAGAGTGTTTGTGATGACCAGCTTATTCTCTTGACAAAACTCTATTAGTCTTTGTCCTGCTTCGTTCTGAACTCCATGGCCAAACTTCCCTGTTGTTCCTTTTATCTCTTGGCTCCCTACTTTAGCATTCCAGTCCCCTAGAATGAGAAGAACATCTTTCTTTGGTGTCAGTTCTAGAAGGTGTTGTAAATCTTCATAGAATTGTTCAATTTCAGTCTCCTCAGCAATGCTGGTTGGTGCATAAACTTTGATTATTGTGATGTTGAATGGTCTGCCTTGGATTCGTATTGACATCATTCTATCATTTTTGAGATTGTATCCCATTGCAGCTTTTCCCACTCTTTTGTTGACTATGAGGGCTACTCCATTCCTTCTACGGGATTCTTGTCCACAATAGTAGATATGATAATCATCTGAGCTGAATTCACCCATTCCTGTCCATTTTAGTTCACTGATGCCCAGGATGTCGATGTTTATTCTTGCCATCTCCTGTTTGACCACCTCCAGCTTCCCAATGTTCATAGATCTTACATTCCAGGTTCCTATGCAGTATTTTTCTTTGCAGCATTGGATTTTCCTTTCACTTCCAGGCACGTCCACAGCTGAGCGTCCTTTCGGCTTTGGCCCAACCACTTCATTAGCTCTGGAGCTACTTGTACTTGTCCTCCGCTCTTCCTCAGTAGCATGTTGGACGCCTTCCGACCTGAGGGGCCCATCTTCCAGCGTCATATCTTTTAGCCTTTTGTTTCTGATCATGGGGCGTTCTTGGCAAAGATACTGGAGTGGCTTGCCATTTCCTACTCCAGGTGGATTGCGTTTAGTCGGAACTCTCCACTATGTCCTGTCCATCTTGGGTGTCCCTGCACGGCATAGCCCATAGTTTCTCTGAGTTACTCAAGCCCCTTCGCCACGACAAGGCAGCAATCCATGAAGAAGAATGTCCTGTACATTCATCCATACTTCAGTCCAACACTTAACTTTCTATCATAACATCATAGCAGAAGCACAGAAAACTAAGCATTTTAAACTAACACACACATACATACACACATACTCCCTCCCTTTTTTTTAAAGTAGCTTGTCCTGAGTGGGGAGCCCTGTTTATTTATTTTTACATCTTAACCAGCTCTACCAGCTGGAAAGATAATGAAATGAGTGAATGAGAAAGGAAAGCCTTCTTAAGGCAGTTTTTTTTAAAACTGTGTCACCTATAGGCATTTGAAGTGCAACTGCAGTTAGGAAGCTTTATTCCTTCCCTGCCTGTGTGGCTGCTTACATTAAAGAGAACTGAACCCACCAATGTAACTTCACAGAAAGAGAGTGAGAGTTACACAGATAGCAAAAGCAGTGGTGTTGATCCATCTGGAGAAAAAAACCCAGTCTGTCATGCTTATTAAGTGGATTCAGTTGTGTGTGCCCACATGACTCTACCTACCATAAGAAAATGAGTATCAAGGTTTCTGCAGTAAATTCTAAGATAGCCTCAAATAATTATCTGTGTCAATTTACCTTCAGTCTCTGTTTCTCTGCTTGTAGAAACATGTGGGAAGAGCGGGGAATAGAAGGAAGTTCTGTAAATTAAGGGTCATTTCCATTAATCCCAGAGAACTGCATTCCATGTAAGCAGGATGAAAGTTTTGCTCTTTTTTTTAGCATGGAGTATTTCAAAATGCCGAGAATGCAAGTCTGGTGTCTATACAGTTACCAGACATACCAATTAGTTTCTTTGGGTTCTTTAAACAGCAGTCAATGTTCACACAAAAATTGCACTTTGCAAAGTTACTTGTTTTTACACTAGATTTCTCTTCTGTTTTTTTCCCCCTAAATGCTCAGAACCACTGAAAGCTGTTCACATGGCTGCAGCTACCCCCTTTTATCTTCATAGGAAATCAGCATGATAGGTCAGGTAGTATGACTGTTCTAAAATCACCCCACAAGGATCATAGCTGAATACAAACTGAGCTCTGGAGGCTTATTTGATCTTGCCCACTTGTCTGAGAACTTCCTGGCATGCACTGCTTACTCAGTTAAAGTTTCTTTTGGAAATTGTCACAGGAAGCATGCGTTACATTGCAACTTTTGCTTTATTTACAAATTAGAGTGAGCCAAGGTGCAGCCACATCACTCAGACATGCCTACAGAAAGGCAAAAGCAGCATCCCAAAATTAGTGCCAACTTCCTCAGAGCACTGCTTGCACTGTATTTCACGCCACTCAGATATTCACTGACAATTAAGGTCTAAGTTACCTAACAATGGATAAACACAGGATAGATTATATGGCACATTCCAGTTCTAAGCCTGTCATTCCACTCCCAGGGACCTATAATCCCTTTTATATGGTACAGCACACAGCAAGCATGAAAAAAACTGGATAGGAAGCTTGCCACTGTATTCTTAGAGCCTATCTTTCCACATGTTGAGGTCTGATACTGGAATTCATAGTACTGTAATTTCCAAGTATCAATACAGTTCATGTGGCATACTCCATTCTCTCTTGGAATCCATTCTTCATTTTATTCACAGCCAACAGTTATTTCTATAGAATAGTTCCCATTGCTTTGAAGAATTATAACCCAAGAACATGAGGAGCCCCAAATGATGGGAAACAATGCTCTATAAAGAGCAAATTGGCTGTTCTCACTACACGTCTCTGGCATGGCCCTGTAAGAAGCTTTGTCTGAGAGTGTAGGGCCTGATTAAAACCTGCCTCAGAGCACTGGCCTATTTGATGCCAGGCAGCTATTGAAATCAGAGTGACCCCATTCCTCTTGCTTCCTGATCAATGCCTGGAATCCTGCTAGAGTTTGTATAATTTCCCATAGTTAATTGGGGCTAATTGACAAGGTGCCAGGACACTCTTTGGGTGTGCAGTCTGAAATATGACCAAGTATGCTGCGAGATACACCTTGGCACCTCATTAATTAGCCATGGGAAATTACACAAACCTTAGTGTAATGCTAGTGTTTCAATTCCATCTGAGACCTCATTATTCAGAAGATTGCCAACTGTGTAATCCGGACATCTTTACTCTGAATAAGCAAAACTAAAAACAAAGAACAAAAATGTCTGAAGACATGTCTGAAGAAGTGGAAATATCATTCACACTGAAATAAAATAGTTTTTACGGTGCTACAACTG